CCTGTTATTTGCTGCTGAATGAAAGATCAGCTGGATCCTCACACCATTTCCTTTCTCTCCAGTCTTACCATTCCTTCATTTGGAGTCTTCAATGTTATTGTTATTTATTATTCATTACTATCACGCTCTCTTACTTCTCTTACCTTGGCCAGTTTATTAAGTAGTAAACATGCTACAGAATAGGCTTCTTATGAAGATGATCTACAAGGGTAGAAGTGGTTAAACTACTATAAAGCATTGCCTCCTCAGAGCTCTTTAAGGCTGTAAATGGTAGCAGAGCTCAATGATTATGCATTGTAATACATAAAATCTATTAGATACACTAGTGTTTAAAGCAGAATCATAGAATAGAATCATAGAATCGTTAAGGTTGGAAAAGACCCTTAAGATCATCGAGTCCAACCGTTAACCTGGCACTGCCAAGTCCACCAGTAAACCATGTCCTCAAGCACCACGTCTACCTGTCTTTTAAATACCTCCAGATGAGGTAGATGGGGAAGAAACACAAGGAGCACTTTTAGATGTAAGCTTGGATGTAACAAGATCTTTCTACTGTATGGCTTTAAAGATGCATATTATATATCGAAGTGTAGATATATCTTCAGCGTTCTTGGCCTACGCAGCAAGCTTGCTGAGAGCTAGATGGCTGACTAGACATTGAGCACAGCCTTTTTTCTCCCAGCAACATCGTACCTTATCTGCCATCCTGCCTTCTTACTTCCTAACTTATTACTATATTGGAAATCAATGAAATAATCATGGACACAAATATTCATTGTAATACAAACTGCAAACAGCTAAGCATCTCAAAATGTGAAGTTTAATGATAGCACTTAAATCCTTTTCATGTTTCATTTTAGTAAATTGACACAGTAGGAGAGACACATGGTTTTATCTTTTAATATTCTGCTTTGCTTTGTTGAGATCAATTATTTAGGCTAAAGGAAGAATTTATCCACTAGAATATATGCTTTTTAAAATCATTATAAGATCTCAGGTGTTTTAAAAAAAATTCATTTCCAATGTTCATTTATTTAATGGGCACATTTTACTTACATATGTCAGACAGAAAATCACATGAAAGCATATTGAAACTGCAGGTTGCATCACTTAAAAATCAGGAAAGTATGTCCTTAACTCTGCCTCCCTGCACCTGTGATTTACAATCTCTAGATATACGAGTCACGTGGTTTTTTCTTTTAAGCCCCTTCTTCTTTCAGCTGAAGAGTACAAAACCCAGCAAATAGAAGGCAGCCTAATTTTTTATCTAGTCTGGCAGCAGTATGTTTCTTTCAGAATCTTTGTCAAATGGCAAATATATAGAAGAAAAGGAATAAAAATTTCTAGGGAAAAAAAAAGAAAAAACTGATAATTTGCTCACCTCCATTTAACAAAGCTTGAACTCTGCCCTTATGATTTTCACAAAAGGGCTTTACGAGTTTATCTCCCTGTCACACATACAAATACACACGTTTATGATTCTGATGGCTTGAGGAGTGGTATATAACCATGGATGGATGTGACCTGTGCAGTATTGCTGTTTCCTTTTTTGGTATTTCAGGACATCATTTACAAAGTGAAAACTGCTTTTAATAAGGAATTTGATGTAGTTGCACGACAAAAGGAGCAGGAGATAGCACGAGTGAAAGAAAGAAACCTGAGGATCCGAGAAATCTTGGCACAACTTGACCTCCAAGTGGAAGTGTGGGAGCCCGCTCTTACAGATGACGAGATACCAGAACGAGCGCTCACTGTTCAGGATTCAGAGGTGTCTGAAAAATAAATCTTTCTCTTTCACCCACTCAGATACAGTTCTCAAATTCTTCTCATTTCCAGACATTGTGTCAGTACTGAAAAGTCTTAAAACAGATGTGTCCGTATACTTACAATCATCTTTTTGACTCTTTTGCTGCCCTTCCCTTTTTAGGAAGAAAGCTCTAAATAAGTCAATCTGAAATGAATAAAATGTTTACAATCTTAATTTATTGCTGTTAAAAGTTTTTAATTGCCCATAAATTAGGTAGAAATTCCCCCTGTTCCTGACTATAAGATTCAAACCGGGCTTGCAGGGATTACTTCCATAGATAAGGGCTTCTCTGTTTTCTCTGAGCACCATTTTGAAACTAAGTAGTTTCAAACTAAGTATCTAGATACTAAAGCATACTTAGTACTGTACATATAAATTCAATTGGCAATTTATAAAGAAACACCATATTTCTTATATGATACATTCCACTGATCTCATCTGCTCTTTTGGTCAGTCTTTCCCCACTTCTCTCTGCTCTCCCACCAGTCCATGTTATTCCACTGTCAGAAAAGGTATGCACAAAACACAACTAATACCAACAAAAATGATGGTAGTTCATATTTTAGCATTTTTAAATATAGCTTTTGGAGCTGTTCAAAAGAACAGTTTTCTTCTTGAGTAATGTTGTCACAGAGCTTAGATACAAAAAGCATTAAGCATTAGTATTATGTCATCTTTTCAAATGTTCTTAGTCCACATGTGATCATGTTTGGAGAAAAGAACCCTGATATGAACCTCATTTTCTTCCTTCAGATTAAAGTTGAAAAATACTTGTCTCAACAAGAGAGAGAGAAAGCAGAAATGCTGGCTAAGCTTGAAATGGAAAGACGCCATGCTGCTATGGTACTTAAAGTAGTATCCTTTTTACTTAATAGGCCTTTGTCTCTGGTTAGGCTTACTTAGTTAATGCTGCACTGGAATATTCCAGTAATATAGTATGGGAGAATACATTTTAAATGGTAGGTGATGATGTGTGCCTTTTCCCTCTTATTATCATTTACAATCAGAACTACAAAGACCAGTTGGGGGAAGAAAAGATATAGTGTTAGGCTCACAATTTTTAAAAATGTGCTTAGTGGCAATTAAAAATACCACAGCAGGTGAATCCAGACTAGATAAATTTCTAAATGCATGCTACTGCTCAATTGAGAGCTTTGTGCTTGATAGGTGTTTGTTGACTGAGCGACCTCTGTTCTTCAGGGATCAGACTAGAAGATCATAATGCTTTCCTCTGGCTTTAAAATGCATCTGTGAAAAGCCCAAGATGGTTCTGGCCCCAAAAGAGATGCACAATAAGACAGTGAGACTACAACTTCCTTCATCCTAGCCTGCCACCTGGCCAGGAGTAGTCTATGCCTGTGTATTCTTTCCAAAACTGCTAGAATGGCAGTTTTAGTAAGTTATTTAGTATATGAACATGTGTCCACCAGAAAAACCTCTGAGACATTTACCATATTTCACACGCATCACCAAAGAGCATCGATCTACTAGTGACACACGGTATAATCATATGGGTGATCTAGAGGTGAACTACTCTATTATCATTCCCAAAACTTCCAATTACTACACTTCCTTTTGTACTCTAAAATATTTTTTGTGGTCGTTCCCAGGACAATGAAAGACTGCGTGCTCTTAATGACATGATGGGTGGAGTGCTAGAAGTCAAAAAGGAAGACATCTTGAAAATGGTGAGCTGTGTTTCTGCCCTATCATTTAGGTAGCTTGTGGGCTTTTAAGGAAATGTGAAATTCAACTAGCAAATATTTCCAACCTAAGCAATAGAAGAAAGTCGGAGAATTGCAGAATTGCGTTATGCCTAGATAGACTCCATAAGAGACCATACACCGACTCAAAAGAGACCACGAGATTCTAGTGCCTGCATATGATTTGCACATCAACACCTGTCCCTATCACAGTGGAATACTATAGGAACATAATCTAGTATTACCATTAGAACAACTGTATTGCTGGGGGAAGGGTCTATTATCCATGGCTGTGATCTTACAGAAAAATACTGTGTTCCTTTTACTCAACAAATATAGATAGTACAGTAGTAGAGGAAGGAAAGAATGTGAAGGAGTGTCACAGAAAAAGGACAGGGCAGACCCAAGCCCTCTCCCTGGAATTGGTCTGTTTTGGAAAATTAGGACTCCACTTAGAAGTATACCTTAGCATGGAGTTAGATTTGGAGTTCTGAAACAGAAAATGTGGTATATCTTGTACCGACAGTAGTATGTTTGAGTACAAAATACTTGTATTTTACAAGATCCAGGAGTGAATTCCTGTAAGCAAGTGAGAGAGAATAGCACAATATATATACACCAAAACTACCAGTGTAAGTAACAGACCAGAGAAACAGAATATATATGTTACTCAGACTTAAGGCTTGTTCCTTACTTACCACTAAGAAATGCCTTTCATTAAATTTGATGCGTGCTATAGTTTGTTAGTGTGCTGATGGAGACTTAATATTGTTTTTGAAGCATATTTGTCTTTAATACTTCCAGGATATTCCTCCACCTCCTTTTATATCCGAGCCTGAGCATGTTTGGAATGATGAAGAAAAGAAAATATTTAGAGAACATGAGAAAAAAGTCAAGGAGCTGAATGAAGAAAAAGAAAAGTATAGAAGGGTAAATTAAAATGAGAAAAGGAGTGGTTTTGTTCACAGTGCTCATGACCAAAGCTTCTGATCTTTCCCAGTAGCTACTTCTAAAAGTGAACACTAGTAAATAGAATAAACAAAGAACAAATGAAGAACAAAGATCATCTGGCATATTAAATAAGTCCTAGTTTAGGCAATAAAATAAGGCAATCTCTACTTACACCAATTAATATGTGCCAAAACTTGTGATATCTGACAAAAGGTAACTTTGTTTCACAAATTTACCAGCATTCCTAAAATGTTTTTTCAGGTGCCATTCCAGAGCCGCTGATGCCATACACAAATAATACAATTATATTTATCCTTTAAAGTGGTGTTTGGCCACCGTAACTTGGTAGCCTGGCAGCACTCTCCTTCCAAACAAGTAATTTCTGGGACCTTTTGGCTGAAGGATACAGTTCCATATTATGCATTCTCCAGCATCTGATATACTATATCAGAGCTTCTTTGTTCCTCCAGATGTAATATTGCTGGTCATGTTCTTCCCTTGCCCAGGCACTGGAAAATGAATTGAAGAAACTTGAAACTTCCATCCAGGAAACAACACAAAATTTTGATGAAACTGTGTGCAAACTCTCTGAAAGGAAAGTGAAATTAGAGATGGTCATCTATCAGGTATTGCAGAGCACATTAATTTTTCATCAGGAATGTTAACATTTTTTATTACAATCTTTTCACAGGAAGAACTCAAAATAGTCAATCTTGTTTATGCTTTACTGTTGAATGAAGAGTTGGACACTAGAGAAGCTGGACTTCGTAATTTCCTTATGAAAAAGGAGAAAGAAAAAGTAAGTTATCATTTGGAATGCTGTTCTCAGGAAAAGTGTAATATTTACAATACAATTTCTTGTGAATACTGCTCTTCCCCAATCAAAATTTCGCCGTAAATGATTTTCTGACAATTTACAGGGTCACTGATTTTTTTCAACTTGTACAGGTGACATACATGATAAATCCATATGTTTTTTAATAGATATTCATATTGGTTCATCTGGAGTTCTTTGGTAAAACTCCATATGTTCAGAAGGGCATGCTGCTGTTTGTTTGCTATATATAATATTTTTTAGTATCCAGTATCAAGCTGGAAGCACCAATATGATGCTTTTATGACAGAAAGATGCACAAAAGAATGTGTAATGCCATCACATTTTTCACTGAGGTGTCTAATGTAGGCCAGGGCCACGCTGACTTGTGTTTGCCAGTTCAAAGCATAGACAGAGGTGGCGTGTGAGTATCTGACCATGGAGTACAAAGTGTTTATTGTCTTATCGACCAATTTAATCTCCTGAAGAGTTTACCCATCCCTGTCAAACCATATACAAGTCAACAAAAGCCTGGATAGCACAAGTAGTAGATCTGGATTTCAATACAAGTGCTTACTGCCCACAGTAATAAGTTTGAGTGACAGTTCTGATTCCTGTGTCCTGCCAATACCTGTATGACTCAGGTGATGTAAGTGGTGGTAGTCTGCAGGTTGGTTCTGGCTCTTGGGACAATATTATCCCATTTGCCCACTTTGTCTTCGTGGAGCTGTTCCTGAGTCCACAGAGAATATATTAATGCCTCCCCATGTCAGATCTACTCGACCTGTACAGACCTTTGTGTTTGGAGCTGCAAGCAGCCATTTGTACATGAGCTACAGCGACAGGTTCCAAAGTAGGCATCTAGCCCCTGCCACTGAACAGGCTGAACTTGTTTTAAAATTACTTGAGGCCAAGTGTATACCAGCTTACATTTTTCAAAATACATCTTTTTTTTTTTTTTTAATTTTCTAAATGTTTCCATTGGTATATCTTTTTTTTCATGCAAACTGCAAAATACAACACAACGGTCTCCCCAGCAGAGTATAAGCATATAAGGGCCTCAGTAAAACAGATGAGCTTAGTATCCTCACACGTAGCAGAACTATGTCATGACAACAGGGAAACTTCATTCTAAAATGAGGAACCCTCCACTGGACAGCATTTGAGAATTTTTGAGTGGTCTTGAACAACATTTGAGAATTTTTGACTGGTGTTGAACAGCATTTCAGAATTTTCGACTGGTCTTATCTGTGATGACATGAAAGGAGAAGGAAATCTCTATGCAAGTGAAAACAAGTATCAGGATAGGTCCTTACATTCAAAGTTTAAACAGAAGACTTGTAAGCATTTGTATAAGATATTTCTTACACAGATTTCTTACTTTCTTAAGCAGTGGACTAGTTTAATTTCGCACCTTCTCACCTTTTAGCAGTATCTACAAGTAACCCCCAAAGAAGGCATTATATTGTTGGTAAAAATAGCTCACAAGGTTTTCTCTAGAAATAAAGTGTCAGCTTCATCAGTGTATATGAATGGCCATTCAGTGCTTCTGCTAGCTGAGCTTCATTCCTGAAATCTTTTGGTTTTGCTATAGGTCAAGACTGCAAGAACAATCCAGACTACAAAAAATAAAATTGAAGCTTACATAGATACCTGTGAAAATGCAATAGCTGAAGAGAAGGTGAGACTCTCAACAAACACAAGGAGATTCAGAACTTAAAAAGTCAATGCCCTGTCTTGATAATGAGAAGAACATATTTCATTGTAAGCATGGGATGAGTTCTGGTCAACTTGCTGATCACTGAAATTAAGCAGTAAAGGAGAGTATGTACATAGAAGAATTTATTAAATAGTCCAGATTCCCGTGATGCTTGGGAGCACTTGGAAGAGCACCATATTCTGTATTTCTAGGATATGAGCAGATGATTGATGCTTTTTTTAAAATGACATTGTGGTAAAAAGGAAGCTTTCTGTTTTCCTCCTAGAATCTGGAATGTGGTTTTACAAAGCAGTTTGCTGCAGTACCTGCCAATCTCCTTGATGAACTTTTCCAACTTTACAAACATCGACCGAAGTAAGATTCCCCCTGATTCCATCTGTTTGAATACTAATATTTCTTGTGTGTCAAAAATGACAATACTATTTATTTCAACAGTCTAAATTATTTTGATAATTGGTGGACTGCCTGCTTTTTATTGGATAGTTAACAATGGTTGATTTTCTATCGTACTAAGGAATATTTCTATCATACTAAGGAATATTTCGAGTATTTACATTTCCTTATTCACCCCACACAATCTATTTTAAATGCAATCTAAATAATCATCAGTTCTCAAAAACATATATTCGTATTTTGTGTAAGATGCAGTCTTACTATTATTTGCTCTTTGCAAGAGACTGAGAGTATGAAATGTTCTTAGTTGTTTGTGAGCTGCTTTTGTGCAAGAGAAAATAAAAAGTAAATACTGTATGTACTGTGTATGTGCACTAGGACCCCAATGACAAAAATGCTCCTTGACGCTGCTAACCCGTATGGGGAGCGTTCAGGCTCAGCTGAAGATTACAAAGATGCACTTACCCTTTTAATGAAAGCCATGGATGAACTGGATAGTCCTGAGCACATGCCTAATGGCTTAGACCCATCTGTATGGGAACGTTTTTGTCTAGCTAGACGAAATAAAATGGAGAGTGAGGAGCTGGTATGTAAAATTCTTTATTTTTTCAGTATACTTCTTGATATTTTCAGATAGAAATGAATAAATTATTTTCTAAGCAGAGTGTAAGGGTTGTAACCTCTGTCTCATGTGCTCTACTGGGATTCTCAAAATACCAGGCTGCATATTTATACATACGTGTGTCTTCTTAAGAATTTGTCTTCTCTGTTCTTGAAGAGGCTTGCCCTGACATACTGACAAAGTTGAAAAAGTTCAGAGTGTCATGACATTGCTTGCTTAGGTGAAATGGAACGCCCTAACACTGGCAGAGATGCAGGCCTTTCTCCAGAGAAGAATGGATGACAATGAGAAGATTAAGTCAGAAATAGAAGATATTTTCCAAGAACTCACTTGGTAATTTTGTTTCTTTTCTTATGTTCAGCTACATTTTAATACTCCACCAACACAGAACCAAAAGTTACATACAAAATTACACAGCTGCGTTCTCCAACACTCTCTTATCTAGGATTCATCTAAGAAAAATGAGGTGTTATTGCAGCATACATGAGCAAGCCAGACCAGTCTTCATCTACCACCTTAAGTAACAACATCAGTAAGGATGGTAGCATGGTCTTCAATGCAAACTGACTGCCCCAAAAGCTACATCATACAGTTAATCCCCCAAAGCCTTCAAGGCCATATTTGTGCTAGCTAGCTCAGTTAAATTTTGCTCATGTAAGCCTAAGATACAGCAATCACTCCTAATTGCAATATGCTGCCCAGTCACATGACACCTGATTTCACTGAGCTGCTTGGACCTGCAATATTTCATTTTTTCATGTGCATGACATAATTTTCACATTCATTGTCATTAAGGAACAAACCCCAGGATAAATTATATAAGCAAACGGGTGTTGGCTGGGAGTATCCTCCATTTCCTTTCCAATTGTAAAGATTTCTGTTCAGTAAGAACACTTTCTCTCAGAACATCTGCTAGAGTACGTTAAACTGAATCCAGTGGTTGAAAACTTCATGTATGGAAATAAGTTGCCAATTTTGTTGTCACTTTGGAAGGAAATAGAAGACAGGCTGTCAAAGAGTAACCCCTACATGAACATACCACTTACCAGTAGTAAATATAAACATTTTGAGAATCATGGGAGGTTTTATATAATCCTGTTGAAATTGCTAAACATTGCTTTTGTTTTCTGCCATTTTAGGTTGCAGGAGGAGAAGATGAAACTTCAATTGAATTTGACTGTCCAGTTTTTGCTAAAACAAGGACAAGTGGAATTGGAAAGTACTGAAATCCCAGACTACACTGATGCCATTCTCATTAATAAGAGTATTATTGAAGAACTGAATTGCTCTATCATGGTAATTTACATTACCTGACGGAAATGTAAACTTTTTAAACAAATGTATTGTCCTTCAGGGACTCCGCTTTTTCTCCAGTTTGACGTCTAGTTTCAGTTCATTCCTACACACCGGTAGGCTCCATTGTGTGGCTATTAAGAATTCTATGATGCCTCTTATCATGATGTAAAGGTTGCAATACGAACTGCTTTCTTGATGTTTGATCAATACAATTCAGATCAATGAAATGGCAACAGGTTTTAGACACAACATTACTTACACACACTCTGTAAATAGAAAATGCTAATATCCTGGGCACTAGTCTGAAAATTCCCTCAAGGCAAACTTATAGTCATGTTAAGAAGCATTTCAACAGTAGCTTACATTAAGATTTAAAAAATTAATACACTTCTTATGTAAGGTGAAATTGGTGATCATGCTTAAAACAGTTTTTCGTACTCTCATTAAATGTTCTTTTTTTAGGCATTCTAGCTGCACAAAAACTGCTTGTTACTGCTACTGCACAAAGCCTTCAGTAACAACTGCAGAATACCTTATACACAAGTTTGTATTTTGTAGCATTAAAATGCCTTTGCATTCTTATAAAAGACAGAAAGAAGGAGAGAGAGGTTAGTTGTAATTTTCTTCATCTCCTTCTACGATCCAAGGCTGTGGCACAGAGCATAAAAGGGAACAAAATTCCACAAAGATATAACCATCTGGAGCAAAAAGTCTGGAAAGAGACCGCAGTATAGCATGTTTTCCTTGCTAAAATTATAACTTTGGAAGCTTGCCCATCTTGTTGCAAATAATTATTCTATAACCTGTAAAGTGTGTTAATTAAGATTAATCTATTTTTTCAGGCTCAAGGAGAAAAAAAAATTGCTAGCATGGTGGAATGTAAAGAATTCTCTAAAGGGATATTTCAGCTGGAATGGGAACACAAGAAAATGAGAATGCAGATAGAAGATCTGGAACAGAAGGCTCGGGACATTGTAACACTACCTATTTCAAAAGATCGCCAGCTAGTGAGTTACTTCCTCTAATTTATATTTTGACCGCAGAAAATTTTGCTGCCTATACCTATAAGATCATTTATACCTCTTAAGTCTCTTACTACTACGGAGAAACTTGATGCCTAAAAGCTTAACAATTCGGCTTTCAAAGGGAAATTTTACTCTTGAGATTGATCAGTGATGAAGTTCTTTGGGATGTTCAGGGGTAAACAGAGGCAAAATTAGCCTCTTAGTGTTTCAAAATTGGCACTGAGAGTCAGGAATCAGGATTTTGCAGCCACAAGGAAGAGATATTTTAAATCAAGCATCATGACTTCCTTTTAAGTGAAAGGTCTGAGGTGCCCCCATCTGGTATCTGACAGAAATACCATAATTTTTGCTCAGTATACAAAGATTGAGCGTTCCTACAGGACCCCCACTCACTGCCATTTGTTGGCCCAGCAGCAGAACGACAGGGAATTGTTTGCCATACCTGGCAAGCAAGAGGCAGCAGCTGGCCAGCAAGTCATAGCTGTCAAGCACCCACATAGCTTTGAACAAGCCCAGTTGGCAGGCCAGAAAATATAAAGGTTGTGCAAGAGAGCCAAGGATATCAGTGGGAGAAGAGAGGAGGAAGAAGAGAGGTTGGAGTAAGGTTTGGAGTGTAAGGGATGTTGGAGGATGGGTAGGCTGAAAATATTGCTGCGGGGAGAGCTATAAAGCACAGAGAAAATGAAGAATGTTGGAGAGCAGGTAAGGATATTGCAACTCAATCAAAAGATTAAAAGAAAATCCAAAACACGTGTTTTGCTCAGGCTTCATTTGTTTTGCTACTCACCAAAATGCTTGTTCACTTCTGAATCACAGCCAAGGGACTTCTGTAACTAACACCAACAAAACGGCTTTCCAAAGAGGTGATGTGACAACACACTGAAAAGTTCTTCTAGCAAATTTATCACCAGAGTGCTGCCATTAGCTCAAACTTCATTTAAACTGATGAGCAGAACTATTGCCCTTCAGAGGGAGTGAGACTTACCCATAGCAAAGGCACATACCAGTTTAATCAGAATTTGAATGCTCTGAGGGGCTAGATGTTGCTTCACTTTTTGAGTAGAAATGTGGGGTTAGTAGGAAAGACAAGGCAACAGAGACCCCAACAACAGGAACAGAAAGAAGGATGGTTTAGATAAATGCACGTGAGCAAGGACCTGAGAACACCTGCAATGAGGGCTATTAGCAAAGGAGTGAGTGAAAGCAGTTTGGTGCTGTAGGCAAGGAGTCTGCTGGGTCTTTCCTGTTTCTCCTCTTCTAACTAGAGCAGTCCACAAAATTTTACCTGTCACTTTGGTCGGCAGTACTCTGGAAGGATGAATCTACATCTACACAAAACCTGTCTACTGCCCATTATGGGTCATACAACCTGTTTTACCATTTGTCATTTGATAAAGAGATATTTTAGTAGCAGTGTTCCCAAGAGAAAATCTTTAATACATTTTCTGAAAATAATCACTTTTTTCTCTGGCCTAAAGACAGACTGTACAGCAGTTTGCCCTCCAGCTGTGTTAGCTTAGACTACTGTATAAGCAGAAGTATAGCTTGGGTTTTTTGACAACTTCACAACAAATTTGCTTGGTCTTTGTTTCCATTAACACATAATAGATAACATTCTTTTTAACAGCTGTACAGTCTAGTATTCACACAGCATCCAAGAGTATCTTTACCATGTCCATTTATGATCACTAGTAAGCCTTTCCACTGTGCAGAATTCTAGTTTTTTGAGTTTCACATAGTATGATTGTCTTTACAGAAGTGTGGAATTGTTGAGAACAAACAGGCTTAATAAGATGATTTCTTTCTGTTTTTAATTCTTCAGTTCCTAACTGTGCTGAACTATGACAGCCACATCGCCCACCACATTTCAGCGATGGAGCAGACTCTTGGCATCATGGATAAGGTAAAACCTAAGTGAACCACCACATTTGAGAGACACATCCTTAGTTTAAATGCACCTCCTCTCCTTCATTAGCAAGAGGTGTTTGTAAGGAATAACTGCAACTGATGTAGGCATACTAACTCTCCAGCTAACTCAAGGACTGTTGGAGCATAGCCATAACAGCACACACGGATGAATATATA